GGATGAGGTGAGAGCACTGGTACCTTATATCCGACATCCCAGGAGTACTTCCCGTTCTCATTGACACTGCGTTGCCATTGGAGAGACACCAGTCCTCTGGTGTCCAAAAAAGTGCGGCAAACGTCCCGAAGACGGGTCGACGTCAGCGACAGATTGTTGAGCGAAAAGCTGTCCAAATGTTGGCATATATTCTGCAGAATCTGTTCCCAAACAACAGAAGTGATCACAAAAACAGTGATTATCAACACATATAACAAGAAAAATCAAATCAGAGATTATTATTGGGAAAAAACAAATTAACAAAAAAGTATTTAAAATAAGAGGAAAAAGTACTCAAAGGAAAGAAACACTCTTCAAAGAGACACAAAAATTGGGTCAAAAAGTCTATAAATAATAATTAAAATGCATTGAGAAGTGATGAGAAAACACATGTCGATCACGTATTTAACGTATTCGTGTCATCTCTTCATCGCGTAAAACAAACACAAAAATCTATGAAAACTTAAAGTATTTAAAAAATGCATTCAAAGACACACTTTATTATCGATGAAAATATGCGATAAAAGTGTTTATATAAATGAAATTTTACGGTAAAAAGTCTTGAGATCACAATCAGACCAAAAATACATGGATTTCAAGGATTATAAATACTTATCAATAAAATATAAATTAATTTATACACAAAAACAGCCAAAAGTACGGCTCAAACGCATACCTCAAACGGCAATAAAGACATACTGACGGGTTGGCCGTCACTGTAGACCTGTGCGGGTGTTTCGGCCATTTTGACGCCAAAGTTCTCCACCAATTCGCTGAACACAATGGCCGAGCCGTCGGGTTCGGGGGTCCAGCGTCTGTGGACAAAGTTGCAGCCGTACTGCCAGAGTGGGCACCGGTGCTCAATCCACCCATCAATACCGCCGTGAATGTCGTTGTGAACGTTACGGTAGTGCCACTCGTACTCATCGCGTCGGAACTCTTGGGCGCACCGGAATGTGTACATCATTTTGGGCTTCTTCTGGTAGGCGGCGATCGTACGGACGTTGATATCCAGCGATAGTGAGTTGCACTGCGGCAGCGCCGGCGCTATCGGTATCGTCGATAGGGCGCCGCCATTACTGGTCGCGGTGTTGGTCACCAATTGGTCCGCGGGCTCCACAGCGGCCGAAAAGTCCAGCCTATTCTCCGGCCGTTTGGCGCCGACACTACTGTTATTGCAATTAACGGCCGGAGCGGTCGCTGCGCCGCCGCCTGTGTGTCGGTTCTCAACGAGTTTAGCGCAGACAGAGCTCTGGAGGCCCGGCGGCTGCCGGCTCTGGAACCACGGCGTCGACTCCGACGACTCGTCCGACTCGACGCCCGTCGACGGTGACTGAGCTCTCGTCGAGTGACACGTATTGGTCGGCGAAACTGATGAGGAATGCGGCGATGATTGGTCTCGTGTTGTGTTGGTTTTGTCCGTTAAGTGAAGACCGCGATAGGGCTGAGAGAGA